GTAATAGGAAAAGGCAGGGTGATACAGTGGCAAGAACATAGGATTTAGAGCCAGAGGACCTAGTTCCTAGTTCTGACTTTGCTACTTATGGTATGAGCTTGAGCAAATCACTGCTCCTTCCTTCTTTCCTTCCTTCCTTCCTTCCTTCCTTCCTTCCTTCCTTCCTTCCTTCCTTCCTTCCTTCCTTCCTCCCTCCCTCCCTTTCCTTCCTTCCTTCCTTCCTTCCTTTCCTAGGATTTTTTATTTTATTTTCAAAAACATTTTTATTTAAAGTTTTGAGTTCCAAATTCTATGCTTCTCTCTCTTCCGCCTCCCTGAGATGATAAACAATCAGATATAGGTTATACATGTGCAGTTACATAAGACATTTCCATACTAGTCATTTTGTATAAGAAGGCTCCAAAGGAAAAAAAAGAAAGTGAAAAATAGCGTGCTTCAGTCTGTATGCAATCAACATCAGCTCTTTCTGTGGAGTTGGATAGCATGCTTCATCATTAGTCCTTTGGGATCGTCTTGGATTATTGTATTGTTGAGAAGAGCTAAGTCTGTTAGAGTTGATCATCACAAAATGTTGCTGTTACTGTGTACAGTGTTCTCCTGGTTCTGCTCACTTCGCTCAGCATCAGTTCATACAAGTCTTTCCAGGTTTTTCTGAAATCTGCCTGCTCATGATTTCTTATAGAATAGTATTCCATGACATTCATATACCACAGCTTGTTTAGCCATTCCCCAATTGATGGGCATCCCCTCAATTTCCAATTCTTTGCTACCACAAAAAGAGCTACTATAAATATTTTTGTACAAATAGGTCCTTCTCCCTTTTTTTGGATGTCTTTGGGGTACAGACCTGACTTCCCCTTTCTAAGCCCTATTTCACTGTTTGTGAAATGAAAGGTTTAGACCAGATGGTTTCTAATGCCCTAGTTCTAAAATCCTTTGTATCTTAGAACCCACAAGTCTAAAACAGGGTCTCTTAACCAGTCTGTCAATATTTATTAAGTACCTGCTCAGGGCTTGGTATTCTAGTTAGAAAAACAAGAGAAACACTCCCTGCACTAGAGGAGCCCTCTAAGTGAGGGGGGAGGAAACCCTATGTACAAATGGGAATATGCTGAATAGGGGGGGGGGGGGGGGAGATAGGGATGCACCAGCCTTGGGGGAAACTGGAAAAAAGTGGCCTTTGATTTGACTCTTGTGAGAAAGAAGGGATTCTAAGAGCCCCAGGTGAATGGGGAGTGCATGTCAGTCCTGGGGCTTAGCAAGGAAGTGTTATACCTGAGGAATGTGAGAGAAGCCAGTTTGGTGGCACAGTGGCCAGAAGGAGGGGGAATCAGACTGGAAAGAGGTTGGGGCTGGGTGGGGAAGAACTTGAAATGCCAAACAGGATATTATATTTCATCCTAGAGGATCCACGGAAGTTTATTGTGTAGGGTTGTGACAGGGGTGCCCTGTGCTTTAGGGGAATCACTTTGGTGGCAGAATGAAGGATGAGCTCGAGTGGGGAGTGACTTGGGATGGGCAGACCAATTAGGAGGCTCTGGCAACAGTCCAGGTTAGAGGTGGTGAAGGGCTGGCTCAGGATGAGTGAGGAAGAAGAGAGGAGATTGTGGGAGAGAGTTTGGAGCTGGAATGACAGTGTTTCCACTATGGGGGGGGGTTGGCAAGGAAAGATCAGACAGTGCTTTAGAAGGAGCACTAATCACGGGGTTAAGCAGGGAAAACGGAGCCATCTGAACTGAATTTTAAAGCGAGTTAGGACATTTGATTTGCCAAAAGGTAACGCTGTGGACATTGGCAGACAGAGACTCCAGTGGGGACCCCCCCCAGCTCCTACCCCAGTGTTCTTCCCCCTTCACCAACATAGATCAGAGCACTTTTTCCCATTTAGTATCAAATAGCCTTCAGTGGACCAGATGATTTTTGCATGAAGTGGCGAGTTGGGCCAGATGGCCTTTGAAATCAGAAATTCCATGACTCCATGAGACTTTTCAGATCAGGCATTTGAAATGCTTTGTGGTGTCTTTAAATGCAAAAACTCTGTTGTGCTGACTGAGTCTAAATAGTAGAGTTTCCATATCTTACCCTTTGGGGCATGGTAGATTTTACAGTGAGTTTTTTTGAGGAGTTGGTAACCGGATTTGGTAGCCAGGTAGCTTGGTCTTGGAAAGGCAGCATGGTGCTAGGCTTGGAATCAAGGAGCTTTTTTGAAGTGTGAGGGAAGCAACATGTTCACTTATTATGAAAACAGAATGTATACAAAGTAAATAGAAGTGAGAGGCAGCCTGTGCTAGAGGATAGGGAGCTGGCCTCCAAGTCTGGATGACCTGGATTTCCAACCTGCCTCAGATGTATTGACTGTCTGACCCTGGGGCAGCCCATCCCACCATTGAATGCACAAACCAGCTCCAGTTCCCTGAGACTCTGAGTTGCTGGACGGTTGTTGATCTGCCATGGCAGAGGGAATTTCTTTGGAACAGCAAAGTCACAAGTCTGGACTCTCCCCCGCAAAAAATAATTTGGGGGCCCAGAGCTGGTGAAGCAGTATCAATTGGGGGGAATCTGGAAGGGCCTCATATCAAGGTGGCCTTGAACTGAGCTCACCTTGGATGGATCTGGGAGTCCAGAAGACAGAGAGGCGAGGAAGAAGAGCATTCCAGATGTGAGGTGGGAGTTAGAAATGCACCCTATAAATGTCTGATGCTGTTCTCTTTAATAGGAGCTAGACCAGGTGATCTAAGGCCCTTCTGTTTCCTTCCTATATTACATATTCTGGATCTTAAGGTCCCTCCTGGCTTTTCACATTCTCATTCTTTGTTCTAAGGACCCTTTGACTTTCAGTATACCAAGTTCTAAGGGCATTTCCTTTCTGATATACTGTGATTAATCTTTCCAAACCATCACTTGTGAGATCCATTTAAAGGGATGTTTGTAAGTTGCTTATCATTCTCAAGAACTAACCGCTTTCTATTTTTGAAGTGAATACTGTTTGGTGTTTCAGGAACTATATTTAAAAACAAAATGACTGCTTTGTTCAATGAAGTTTTTAAAAAGCTTCTCCATCCCATTGACCTTTGATTGCTTTTCCCCCTCTTTCCTCACTGCCTTGTGTGACAGGAAATGCAACCAGCCAAGTTAGAATTGAGTTGGAGAGTCAGACTCACACTGTGAAGAGGGAGTGAGCAGATCAGGAGGAAGGTGGAGTGAAGAGGAGACAGAAGTCACTGATTGAAGCTGAAGGAGCTTCACAGACTAGGCTCGTATAGTAGAGGCTCAAAACCCCCAGAATCGCAGAGTTTGAAGGGACCTCAGGAGCTCTTTAGTCCAGCCCGAGCCTGGAGAGATTCCCTCGATAAGTTTTCAGACAAGTCACCCAGCCTCTGCTTGTAGCCCTCCAGGGAGGGGTAAATACTGCCTTCCAGGGCAGCCCATTCCACTTTTGGAGAACTCTAGAACAAACCTAAATCCCTGCCTCTTTGGAGCTTCCGCCTATTCCAACTAATTCTGGCCCTGTGATTCAAGAAGAAAGAGTCTAGACCATTGGCATGTTTCAGCCATTGAACTGTTTGAATACCCTAACTTGACTGCCTGATGTAGGTTTGCTCTTCCCCAGGCTTAATCATCCCTAGTTCCTGTAACCAGTCCTCCTATGAAATGATATGGAGGGCTTTCACAGCTGCAGGACCCACAGCTTATCCTTGTATCTCCAAAAGTGGGGCTGCTAAAACCTAACACATATTCTAGATGTGGGTCTGCCTAGGCCCAAGTATGATGGGGATATCACCTCCCCCAGGCCTGGATACTGCGCTTGTCTTCATGCAGCCGGTGGTTGCGTGAGCTTTCTTGACTGACGTAGCACATTGTTGACTCGAGTTGAAATTGTGGTCCACCAGTACCCACAGATCTTTTTCAGAATAACTGTCTAGCCAAGCCTCTCTCATATTTATACTTGTGACACTGAGTTCAAGTGTGAGCCTTTACATTTGTCCTTGTTTCATTTCTTAGATTTGGCCCACTGTCCTAGATTGTCACAGTGAGCTTGGATCCTGACGCTGTCATCTAGGGTTGGCATCCATCCCAGATTTGTGGCAGCTGCACGTTCGATAAACTTCCCCCTGTAGCTTTATAGATAACGAGGTTGGATTTGAACTGAATGGTCAGCGATTCAAGGATCGAAATCTCTCTCCCTTCTCTTTAAGCTTCCTTGCCAGCCTCGCGTCATTATTCTTGCAGAACCATGGTATGAAGTACCCCTTACACCCCGGGGGGCAGAACCTCCTCCCCGACTGATATTGAATCATTAATGACCACTTTTGGGGTTGGCCATTTACCCAGTTCTCTGTGGGCATCTCTACTGATGTCCAGCCCACATCCCTGTCTTTTCCATAAGAATAGCGTGAGTTTCTGTTAAATGCTGTCTAAGATCTAGGTCAGCTGCAGCATTTCTGTGCTTTGTCATTCGTTTTGGCGTGACCTATTTATTTATTTTTGTTCTTTTTAATCTGGCCTTTGATTTCCTTGGCATAGGGAACCCTCTCTAACAATGGAGAGAGGGAATGATTTTGTAATTTTTGTTTTTTGGCTGGGCAGTGGGGTTAAGTGACTTTCCCAGGGTCACACAGCTAGTAAGTGTTATGTATCTGAGGCTGAATTTGAACCCAGGTCCTCCTGAATCTGGGGCCGGTGCTCTGTCCACTACGCCACCTAGCTGTCCCTATTCTGTAATTTCTTAAAGAGTTGCCTTGAGGGGAGAGGGGTGCAGGTGTTAAGTGACTTGTCCAGGGTCACACAGCCAATTGATATCTAAGGCTGGACTTAACTTTCTTCCTGTCTCCAAGGCCAGCTTTCTTTTTGCAATACTGTACTGTCTAAAATACAGCATACTCTCTACAATACCATGACATGAGTTTTTTTTTTTAAACCAGATTTTTTATTTCATTGGCATAGGGAACTTTAACTAAGGAAACTAGGAAGCCCCCTTTACCAATGTAGATTAGCTCCTGTGATAGTTTAGAGAGTTGCCTGGGACCCTGAGAGGGTAAACGATGTTCCTGTGCTCCCACACCCAGTGTGTGTCTAGTCTTCCTGACTCCAGTGGCCACTCTGTCTCCACTAGGCCATGCTACTTATCGGTGACCTGGCCTTGATGAAGCCATGCAGGCTCACTCTTCTTGATCACTGCTTCCATTTTCAGATATCTATCCCTGTAATAATGCTCCCTATGGTTTTGCCAGGAATCGTTTCCTGATCCGTAGCTTGCAAACTTCATTCTCTTGCTTTTTTGAGAACTGATTTGGCATTTGGCTTTTCTGGTAGCATGACACCTCCTCTGTTCTCTGTAATAATCAGAGATCTCTCATATGAGCCCAGAAATCCTGTCTGCCAGTTGTTTTGTATCCCAGCATCATGGACCCGATCACTTGAACTTATGAAGGAGTATCAACTCTTGTTAGCTATTGTGGTTCTGTCCTTTCCAGCCTACATCTTATTCTCCTTGGCAGGAAAAACGGAAGCAAAACGAGACATGTAGCTCTGCTTTCTAAAGTCTGTTGTCTATTTCACACCGTTCCCACCATGCCGTCCCCTTTGCTTCATCAGTAGACCTTAAAACAACAGAAAGCCTGATCTTCTTTTCCTTATCGCTAGCTTTCTTGCCAGCCTGGCATCATTGTGAGTTTAAGCACCGCAGAACCTTGGGAGGAAAGAAGGAAGGGAACAAGCATTTATCAAGTGCTCACGATGTGCCTGGCATTGTGTTAAGCCTTGGGGATACAAATACGAGAAAGTCCCTTCCCTCAAGGAACTTACATGTAGCTAATGGGGGGAAGGGAGCTGAAAAAGCCAGGGGTTGGGGAGGAAGAATGGTTTTGAAGTCCAGAAATCTTGTGAAGAAATGGGAGGAGAATAAAGCCTGGACCCCTTCCACAAAGAGGAGGCCCCAGAAGGAGCTCACCTATGGGAGAAGGGAGCCCTGCTGTCACAGGGATGTGCCAGAGTGAGGAAACCCAAGGCACAGTTGGGTGTTCTGGGGTGAGCAGGCCCCAGGTACTGAGGGACAGGATAGAACAGTAGCTGAGCCATGCTTTGGAAGCCTGGAAGACAGGAGGAATGGTAATCTCTATCGCCTACCATTGCTTCTACTTTCCTTCCATTCATGCTTTAAAAAACCCCCTAAGTTTGGTGAGTTACTTTTGTGTCTATATCAGTTGCTTTAGGCAACTCTCCTTTCTTTCCTCACCAGAACTCTTTTTTGGTGGGTGTTTTCAGAATTCATTATTGAGAGTTTCCTGTTGGCCGACTTCCCTGAAGGATTAGAGCCTATGGGGTTTTACTTTGCCTCGTCCTTTGAGATCCACTTTCCTCAGATCTAGGATACAAGTGGGACTGTTCCTACACTTCGTCTTCTTTGTCACAGATTCTAAGATGGAGAGCTCCAGGGTTCTCCTCATTCCTACCCCAGCAGGGAGAACCTCCTTTTTGGTGCGAGTCACATCCAGAATATAGGCTCCCCTGTTGGTCAGAAAGTGGAGGCCTTTTGAAGAGTTAAATTAATCCGTAGAGTAAGTCAAGACATTTGAGCTGCTTTGCTTCTGGAAGACACACACACACACAAAACATACTCTAATAAACTTCTGATATTCGAAATCAAGTCAAATCACCAAGCATTTATGAAGCACCTGCTGTGTGCTAGGCACCCTGCTGAATGCTGGGGATACAAAGAAAAGCAAAAACGGTCTCTGCCCTTAAGGAGCCCACAGTCTAATAGGTGAGATAACATACAAATAATTATTTACAAACAAAACATATAGAGGATAAATTGAGATGATAACAGACATTTATGGGAATTGAAAAGACCTATTGGGAGGTGGGATTTTGTAATGTAAGTAGAAAGAACAACCACACACACACACACAAAATCGAAAGTGAATGTTGCAAAATTACAAAGAATAAACATGGCTCCAAAGAAGAGATATGAGAAAACATGCCCACTTTCCCCTTTTGCAGAGGTTGGAGTTCCATGAGTGTTGTATATTACACATAATTCCAGAATTTTTAAATCTGTTGACTAGTAGTTCTTATTTCATCTCTCCACCTTTTTTTCTTTAAAATATTATTTGTCATATAAGATAGCTCTCTGGAAGAGGGAGAGGAAAGAATACTGTAGAAAATTACGGTGGTGTTAAAAGACCACGTAGCATCAATGAAAACTTATTTTTAAAAAATGCCAGTTGAGAGTATCTTATTCAAGGTCCATAATACCTGGCTTTGTGGATATACCTAGGCAGTTTCCTCTTTCAAATATAAAGCTCTTTTGATTAGATTTGGGAGAGTCTAGGTGAATATATCGTTATCAACTCTTGTTAGGTTTACTTCATCCTGGATCAGAACCTGTCATTCCTGTATTTAAAATCCTTGTCCAGAAATCCAAACCCCATTCTCAAATACTATCTTAACCAGATGTTCACTTTGCAAATCTGCCTTTTTCTTCTGAAACCATTGTTTTCAGTCAGCTGAAGAATGGATTTCATAACCATCTATTTAAATGATTCCACTGAAAATCTTCATTCAGTCAATTAATCAGTAAACATTTATTAAGCATTTACTATGTTTCAAGCACTGTGCTAAACACTGAGGATACAAAGAAAGGCCAAAGGCAGTCCCTGCCCACAAGCAGCTTACGGTCTAATAAGGGAGGCAACTTACAGATAAGTCATGTGCAGGATAAATAGGAAGTAATTAACAGAGCCTGCCTCTTCTAGAATTAAGAAAAGTTGGGAAAGACTTCCTATAGAAGATAGGGTTTTAGTTGGGATTTAAAGGAATCCAGGGAGGTCAGTGGTTGAGGAGGGAGAGAGTTCCAGGCACTGGAGAAAGCAGACAAAATGCCCTGAGTCTGGAGATGGAATGTTTCACTTGTTGAACAGCCAGCAGGCCAGTGTTGCTGGATTGAAGTGTCTGTGTCAGGAGTAAAGTATGAGAAGACTGGAGAGGTAGAAGGAGGCTCCATTCATTCTGCTAAAAAGCCTTGGCACTTTGTTTGGATGACAACGTTCACAGCTTTATGTCTGTACGTGCTTTATTGCTTACTTAGTGGTTTGTAGGCAGGATTGGGATGACCTTTTCCAATTTAATAGATTGGAACTGAAACTTAGAAAGGAGAAATGACTGGCCCAGGGTCACCTAGGCAGTAAGTGGCATGATTTGACCTCCCAACCCAGATCTCCTGACTCCCAGGCCTGTGATCTTATCCCAGAGCTCCTCAAAGGAATTATAGTGTCATCTAGATGGAATTAAAGGCTTCACTGTCCCAAGTTCCTTTGCCACCCTCCTTTCCCCCCACCTCGCTGTAAGATCTGAAAGGATAAGTCATAAAACTATCACCATGATAGAGCTGGAAGGATCCTCAGACCATGGAATGTTGGATATGGGAGAGCTCTTAGAACATAGAATATTATCAGAGCTGGAATAATAATAATAATAGTAATAATGACCACAACAATAATATAAATACTGGTAGGCACTGTAACATATCTCTTCAGGCTATATAAATTTAGCACCTGCCAGGAACGTAGCAATATATAACCTGGTGGCCTGTCATGGCTACGCGGCCTATATCAGAGGTCTCAAATGTACAGCTGGCGAGCCACATGTGTTTACTTTGTAACCTTCTTGAGTGTAGCCAGAACCAGATTGCAGTGCAATTGGGAAATAGTTGACAAATGAATTAAAATACAATAAAATTTAGATAATATTTTAAAATTAGGTCAGTAGTATGTGGCCTGCAAGGATCCTTATGTATGGATTAGCGGCCCCTGTTTCTATTTGAGTTTGACACTGCTGGCGTACATGACATAAAATTATATATCAGGAGCAGTCTGCTGTCTTTCATGGACTGTCATATGACAACCCCCACATATTCTGAATACAGATCTCAAGATATCCTACAGAACTCAACCAATCGGCTGTGCTGGAGCTAAACCTTTGTCATGGACTGAGCTGTTAACCATAGTCACCTGGATGTAACACCGATTCATTAAAAACCTAAGAATCATGTTTTATATAGTAGATGTCCCCATCTCACATACTCTGTTCTCTTCGAGCTATGTGAAGTGAAAAGCTTTTGAAGTCTGGAGACCTGGCTGGGGAGATGGGAGGGAGTTCCCATCATCCCCTACAGGTCCTGTCTGCACTTGGAGTTGTGCTGAGGATGCTTTCATTGACCCCACAGAGGATGAGTTTGCATCTGCTGTTTTTATTCAAATGCAAAAAGCAACTGTTTGTAGAACTATAATTGACTATAAAGGAATTATAGTGGGGTAATGACTTTTTCCGGTACTGTTTCTATTTGAACTCCATTGGAAAAGATGAGGAGGACAAAATGATGATGATGATGATGGTGGTGCTGGTTACTGGTGGCGATTTGCATTTATAGAGGCCATTATGGTTTGCAAAGTGCTTCACACGTATGATCTTATATGTGCTGTACATGCAATATGGATATCCCTATTTTTTATCAGTGAGGAAATAGAGAATCAGAACAGTTGCAAGTTGCCCATGGTCACAGTACTATTAAGGGTCAGAAATGGAATTCAAAGTCAAGTTTCAACTGAATTTAAGTATAGTGTTTTTTGCACCATCCTCTCAGAACAAGCAGCATCAGAGCTAGAAGAGATCTTCGGTCATAGAACGTTAAGTGGGACCTTACTATTCTAATAGGAGTTGATTTTTATAGAGAGCATTTAGAATTTGAAAATACATTTTCTTGTTTGAGCCTTTTGACCACTCTGTGAAGTGAGTACTGTAGGTCTTATTCCAGTTTTACAGATGTGGAAACTGAGGTTTAGAGAGGTTTAAGCACACAGCTAGTAAATGTCAGAAGCAGAATTTGAGCCCAAGTCTTCCTGATTCCAAGCCTGGCTCTTGATCCACCATGCTGTGCTGACCTGAAGAGATATTGCTGACTTACTGTATGTAGAATGTTGAATGTAAAGTAGGGAGGAATCTTGGAAATCATTTGGTCTAGCTCCCTCTATTCTTACAGGTCTAAATTGAAACCAATTGAGAGAAAAAGATGTGTCCAAGGTCATATGTAAATTATTAGGCGATCTAAAACAGAACCCACATTTAGTTCTGTTTCTGAATTCTAGAGAGATCCAGTTTGCCAATGTGTCGTTCGGAAACACTTTAGAGATATATGCAGTTCTCTGAAAGTGCTAGATGCTAGATGGAGGTTATAAAGCTCATTAGTAATCCTGAATAGCCTTCTTATTGTATGCTATTGCCACACTAGTCTTCATTATGTAGAGCTCTGCTTACGTTGCTTTCCTGATCAAGTGCAGTCATTGGCTCCACATTTCTCTAGGGCAGACTCCAAAATCTTTAGCCTGGCATTTGAGGCCCTCTGCATTTTGGCCTTTCCCTTCCCTTTTAGCTTTATTTCCCTCTATTGCCTTTCATGCCCCCATGTGTTTCATTCAGCTTGTCCTTCCTACACCACTGTTGACTCCCATTCCTCCTTGGGTCTTTAGAGTGCTGGCATAGCCTCTCCCCCAGCTCTGTCTCCTAACGCTTGTTCTTTAAAAAAAAAAAATCCAACACTTCTTATTTACTTATGGTTAACATTCATTAAAAAAATTTTTTTAAGTTCAAAATTCTCTCTGTTCTCTACTCATTGAAAAGGCAAGAAATGTG